ACTTCAGTCCCACCCATGCTGCAGCAAAAGAGGGGCCACCGCCTGCCCTTCTTGTGGCCAGATGAGGGTTGGACCGCAGGGCCTGCCCCAGGGCCAGGGACAGAACACTGCAGCCAGAGGGGACCTGGACTGCAATTGGGGCCCTGTTGGCCAGGCCACCGCAGCTGGAATTTGAATTTGTTTCATTTTCATTTAAAAAGTTGCATGTACTTTGGGAATGGCAAAAGAGCCGTATTGGGTTCCCTACCGAGCTATCATGTTTAAAAAAAAAAAAAAAGCCTGAAATAGTATATTTTTCCAGCCCCAACTGTCATTTTTCCCCTTAAACAAAATGCTCAGCTCCTTGTAAGAGCTTTTCACTCTAACGACTCCCATCATAAGACGGCAGAGCCAGTCACATTTTATAAAGTCTAATGCTATTCCCTCTGCACATCTCTATGGAAAGTGCTGTAGGAGGGCTGAGAGCGTGCTGCATTTGCACAAGAGTGTCTGCCTAAAATGACTGTAAAATTGAGGCTAAGTAAGTGTGTTACCAGCAGTAGTTTAGGGATGACGGTGAGTAAATTCCAGGAGTGCTGATACCATAAACACCACTGAAAACAAGGACAGAGCTTTGGACATATTCAAGGGGAAAAAGTACTCTGTGCTGGGAAAAGCAATTGGTAGAATCCGAGCACCAGGGTATTGTGTATATGGGGTGTAAACATCCTTTTCTAAATAGCTGATAGATTCCCTTTGAGCTTGAGTGTAGGGGCAGACATCTGTCTAGAAAGCACAGCAACGTTTCCTCCCAAACCAATGGCCTTCAGCCAGCATATAGGCCAACGTTGGGCACTGTAGAACCATCTTTATGGCTTTTTCTTGGTTTGTTTTAGGACCCTGGGGGAGCAGCAAGCGTCAGTGTTGGCTGGTAAGAGCTCAGCCCAACCTTCCGAGAGTGGAAGCATTGCCGTCACTCCCACGTGTGTGGACAGCCCACGCAAGGTAACAGCCCTCTGGCCTGGTCTCTAGGTGACAATTTCAGGAGATTCTCTCTAGGAGTACACCATACTTGGAGTGTTTGTACATGCAGACTCCATGCTTGTATGTGCCATGGGCAGGAGGTCAGACTTTTTTTTTTTTAAACCAGCAACATCTGTTTGTCTGCAACTGTATCCTAAAGGCCCTTATTCCCTAAGGCCAAAAGGGTGGTGCAGAGCCAAGTGCCCCTCTGTTCTTTTGTAATACCCGTGGCAGCCAGATAGAAAAGCGTCAGCCTGTGTCTCGGTGCTAAGTTAGTCTTGTTGGCCAATGTCAGGCAGCACACAATTTGTTTTGCTTTATTTTAGACAGCGCCCACACACGGAAACACGCCCCCTTGTACAGGGGCTGTAACACAATGGCCGAAGCTAAATCTCTGGAGACTTAAAACCTGCCTCTTTTGTGAAGCTAAACTGCCACTTGATGATGGCCTCTCTGCGTTCCTGTTTTGTTAAGGAGAGGGATGTAGACCTGAGCAATGGATCATATCATCCCTTTGCTCAGCAGAGTCAACAAAGCTAGAGATGCCAGCTTAACATTGTTCCTCTTTGAGAGCTCTGCAAGCCTCTTTGGACTGAAAGGAAGAGTGCAACTCATGTCCCCAGTCCTCCTGGAAAGCCAACTGCCAGGGGGCAGCTGACAGCCTGAGAGAGGCCCCTTTGAAGCTCTGGACCATTAAGAGCGTGCTGATGGTAGCGTAACCAGGGCATTGACAGCATCCCCTTGGAGATCTTGCCAGTTGAAATTTTTACCTTTTCACTAAAACACCCATTTCTGTTGGAGACCTGGACCTCGCACGGCTGTGTGAGAAGAGAGGGTTAGGACAGTTAAACTTGGCAGAATGTGAAGATTGAAGGAGATCTTCAGGTCCTAATTTGTTATAAAATCTCCTCCCTACACTGGAACTCTCTGGTCCAGCAACATCTATGGCTGGGCCAGGAGTGGAGACAAACTGGAGAGGAGGCTGGTGGTAGAGGAGACCAAAAATGACCTGCCATGGTCCAGAAAAATCTCTCACTCCGGGTCAGTCAGGTCCCCAGGGAGCCAGAGAGGTCCAACCTGCAATAACTTCTCTTCCCTAATCAAAAACCACACTACTTTTTGCACTATTTTGCATAGCAGGATGTGGGAGAGGACAGTAATCTGGGGAATGAGCATGCTCTACAGATGGAGGAAGGAATAACTGGCTGTCAAGGAAGGAATACCTGGCTGTCAGATGCCTGCGGATTCCATTGGCAAAGTGTTTCATGCTACATATGAGACATCACTCTAAGCAAAAATGCTACTGGCCATAACAAAATGACCATGTTAAAAATCTGTTCTTAATTTACACTAAATCTTCAAGTTGAGATAAGTTCATCCGTCACTGGTAGTGCTTAGATACTCAAGTGATAAGCTGTTTCTTTAAAAACTCTAATCGAAGGCATTTATAGAGAAACTTACATTTAAACCTGTGAATGTGAAAATACCAATGTTTCCATTACAGGTTGAACCTCTCTGGTCCAGAAACATCCATGGCCCAGAATTATTTTAGTTAGCTAGATGTCCACTTTTCATGGGTGTGGGCACGCTTCCTGTGGTCCCATAAAGTTTGTTTGTGGCCACTAGTCCTGGCTCTCAGTGTTTGGTGCTGTTATTTAGCTCTAATTTACTCCTCAACATCCTCTAACAACCATGTAAGCTGTGGAAGTGTTAGTAATGCTTCTAGACAGTACTGACCTCCCGTCGTCCAGAAAATTCTCTGGTTCAGAACTGGTCATGTCCTGATGGTCTGGACTAGAGAGGTTCAACCTGCAGTATATGAAAGATTTTTGGATAATAGCAAACCTTTTGAGCAACTGCAGCCTCATCTAAAAGACTTCTGGAACACCTGACCTCATGCATCACAACTGTCCTAGAGCTAGGAGCCATCCACCTGGCATGCAAGGCACCCTTGCTGCTAGCCCAGGGATCTGTCGTCGAAGTGCTGACAGAGAGAGCAGTCTGAATTCCTGGGCTGCCGGACCAACTCAGTAGGCTGTTCTCAGGCAACCACGAGGGGTTTATTTGAGTCAGCTTGGTACAAAAAACCTTTGGGGAACACCTGGAAGTTTGTAATGTTGCTGATGTTAACGTGTGTTTGGGGCCAGCGCTCACCCGCCAGGTGTCTGTACCAGTGAAGGTGAGTATGTTTATAACCATGTAGTGAAGTCCCGGAAGACATAAGTGATGGGAACATGTACCCCAGGTACAAATCCAGTTTAGTAACTTTAGAGTGGAGAAAAGAACGTGCCTACAGAAGGCAAGAACAAGAAAACCTAGAGCGAGCCCGTTGCTACCTCTTTTGTGGGAAGAGTCTCTTGGCCCTAGACCTTTGTTAGCAGTAAGGGAAGAGTCCATGCCAGGTATGCATGTAGGAGGAGGAGGGCATGTTTAATTTGTGCATGCATTGACCTTGATGAAATAGCTTCTCTCCCTCTCTCCTGGTACGTCTACACTGTACACTTATTTCCGAATAAGCTATTCCTGAACAAATACTCAAAAATAGCTTATTTCAAAATAGCGCATCTACACTATGAGGAAGCCTCATAATTAGTCTGAGACAGGCTTCCCTAATGTGGACGAGCTAGCTTGATTTGAGCCGCAGGAGTCACTGGGGAGTAATTACTTTGAAATAGCTCTTTCCCAGGGCTGTTCAAAGTAGCAGCAGTGGAGCATCCACACGGAAGCTATTTCAAAATAGCAGTTTCGGAAGAGACATTATTCCTCATGGAATGAGGTTTACTGAAGTTGGAATAAGCTGTTATTTTGAATTTATTTTGAAATAATGGAATTGCCATGTAGACGCTGGCATTGTTATTTCGGAATAACGGCCGCTATTCCAAAATAATGCTGCTGTGTAGACATACCTTAATAGAATTTGAGCCTGTGCTCAGAGCTGTGTATTCTTGGGCAGGTCCAGGATCACAGTGTGATGCTCTTAACATGATTGACTTGGGGCATCTGTAGCAGGGAGGAGGGAAGTCTCAGCAGAGACGGATTGCTGCTTATGCTCTGAACTCTGGTGTGCCTGCTGGTCTGGATGGAGGGGTTTTTTGGGGGTTTTCACTCCCTCCCTGTGGATTGCACACTTGCACAATGCTGTCTGTGCTTTTCTTCACCTCCTTGGTCCTGCCACTGCTGCCACTGCTACTGCTCCTGCTTCCTCTGATCCCTGCAGGATGGGGCCTTCTTTATGGAGTTTGTTCGCAGCCCGCGCACAGCTTCGACCTTCTACCCACAGGTCAGTTTTGAATCAGATCTTTCCATCCCTAGCATCTGGAGGGAAACAATGAAGCGCATCTCAGATCCTGCATTTGTAACTGAGGAAGCCAGGCCTGCTCACTGGTTTCTGCAGTGGTGAGATGTGTTTACTAAAAGGACTGCACTAAAAGGATGGTAATTAATACAAAGGGGCTGCTGGTGAATGCTCTTATTTCCATCCACAGCTCTGTATTTGTGTTGTGTTTTGGATACTCCTGCACTTTTCCTAGTTATCCTCAGGCCTGATGAAGTTGTGGGGGGGGGGGGGGGGTTCC